GTGGAGGGACAGCGCAGGAGGGGAAGACCCTCTATGAGGTGGATTGATTCAGTGACTGGGGCACTCAGGATGGGTGTGTCAGAGGCAATGAGATTGGCACAGGATAGAGCACGGTTTAGGGCTGTTGTACATAGGGTCACTTTGAGTCGCAAAAGACTCGACGGCACATAATAACAACAACAACTTATCAGTGCTTGCCTCCTAACCAAAAGTTTGGCAGTTCAAGTTTAATCTAATCCACAGACGAAAGATGCATAATTTTCTGTAAAGATTTACAGTCCTAGAAACTTGATGCAGGATATCTGTGAGTTGGAAATTGAATGTCAGTGGGTGTTCCCCATTTTAAAGAGAATCTGAGTTAAAGAAGCACCGAGTTCCATGACCAGCTCATGGAAGAGTAAAGTTGTCAACTGGAAAACACCACCATGCTGCTGCTGCTTAATCAACACAGACCAATGATGAAGTCCTCTCAGTTAGCTTAGGAAAATGATAAAGTAATCTTAGTATTAAACTGGAAAACTAACATGTAAGATTTGGATGAGAGATGTATAGGAGATACAATGGTACTTAATAAATGAGTGTTTGCTATTATTAACATTTATAAACATGCCAGCTATTATGGAACCAAATGTAAGAGATTCTAAGCATGTAGAGTGAAATACTGTTGTTGCTGTTGTTGGGTGCCATTGAGCTGAGTACAACTTAAAGCAACCCTGTATTTTGCCTACAGATCTGAACTCTGTCCTATCCTGTGCCATCCTCACAACTTCTAATACACTCAAGCCCACTACTGTAGTCATTGTATCAGTCCATCTGGTTAAGGGTCTTCCTCTCCTTCACTGTCCCTCCACCTTTTCAAGAAAGGGTCTCTCCTAGCAATATGCCCAAAGTATGTGCAACAAAGCTTCACTATCCTTGCCTCCAAGGACCACTCTTGGACAAAAGAAAGTGATGCCTTTGAACTGTAGTGTTGAGGAGTACTGGATATCTAAGGACTGCCAAAAGAACAAACAGATAGGAAGAAGGTGCAGCCAAAGTACTCCTTGGGCTCACATACGATAGGTTCTCGAGAAAATTGTGATATATTCCTGGAAATTTAGACTCCTCTAGTTTCCTGATGCTAATGATACTAAATCTATGAATCATCTAGCCATCTTCCCCTTGCTCTAAAATCGTGACCCTTCATGAATTTAAAGCAGCCTTCAGGGAACTCTGAGATCTTGGTGGTTAAATGCCCAGCTGCTAACTGAGGAGTCAAGCTCATTGGCTGCTCTGCAAGAGAAAGATGTGGTAATGTTTGTATGAAGAATACACTTTTGGAGATCCTATAGGGGAAATTGTACTCTCGTGTTACAGGGACCCATTGAGTCAGAATCAGCACCATCACAACTGGTTTGGTTTTTTTAAGGAGGCTTGAGGTGGCATTTTGGTTCCCCAGATAATCCTGTTCATAGGCCAGTATGTGAGCATGGTGCAAGAATTCCAGAGTGACAAGTCCTCCCCATCTCCCACCTTTTTTTTTTTTACTGCAAGTTAATGTATTTCCTGATGGGCAGGGTTCAGGTCTGTTGTTTATAAGGTCACTATGAGTCATACTCAACTTGACGGCACCTGACAACAATGATAAACATATCCATTTCATATGAGTTCACTGATGAAAGAGTGGTTCATTCCTTTTGTGCTCACCAAACAGAATCAGATCCCACCACAATGGTTAATTCATCCGTGCAAATATTACCCTAAACTTAGCTGTAAGTAGTCAGACAACTGCTTATTCCTATGGAATTTCAACTTTTTTCAAATGTTTACAGTCCTAAATTCAGTGTGAGCTAGGCCTGCTCTCCAGTTCATTCCCATTTTTTGAGCAATAACCATCTGCTCACAAACCCTACAGGGATTTTCAGAGGCTATAACACACAGGGAGGAGATTGCCCTTCTTTCTTCCTCAGAGCCTTTGATGGATTCAAATGCTAGATAAATAGTGTATTTGATTTAGCAGCACAACTCTATAGATGAGACTTCCAGAGCTCCCTCTTAAAATGAAGAAGGTAGGCAATGTGCAGTAAGTCTTATTTGCTGAGGACTGGTGACTTGGCAGCTTAATATCTGTGAACAGACTGCAACCCCTAACTCCCAGCGCTGCCCAAGTCGTGCATCCGCCATCCCTGCCACAGAACTGTGTCCAGGGACACCACCCCACCACCATCCCACGCCTCCACACTTTTGGCACACCCTGGTGGCCTCGCCACAACCCTGCACCCCCTGGCGGTGCTCCAGGGCACTAGAGACTCCTTCACGCAACACAACAACAGCCATGGACAATACGATTCTGAGTCAGCACACAAAGGCACACCATGGAGACAGCCATCATCTGAAGCCACCAATCAAGCTGCTGTGGGACTGCTCTGCCATGAGAAAGGCTGGTAGGATCCTAATTGGGTTTTCTTGGGCAACGCCGATTATCTGGGAAAGTTCCCAAGGTTGAGCCCACTGGTGGGGATTTGGCTGAGCTCTCTCGGGGCACGCAAACTGCCCAGGAAAGAGCGACCCAGTGATAATTTGGCGGAACTTTTGTGGACACTGCAGACCAGCTAGAGGCGAGTGGGTTGGTGAAAATTTGACTTTGTCTTGTTGAGTCCCCTTGACCCAGGAGGCTTCCTGGGCAGGGGCCACAGTGCAAGGGCAACTGTGTGAGCACCACTGGACAGGGACCAGTGAATTAAAACCACTGGGTGAGAGACGGACAGCTGGAATTTGAATAGGGACCCCAGTTGTAAGCACACTCAGACAACTGAGGCCTGAGTGAGGTCCCCCAAGTGGTTGACCTGCCCTTGTGATTGCTGCAACCATGTGCATGCCCTTCCCTATTTGGCTCCACACCTTTGTCTACACATCTGGTTAATCAACCTGCCTTTAATCTGGAGCACCTTGACCTATCTTACCTACAAGAGGCTGCTCTCACAGGCTCTGAACTGACGTTTCCCTGGAGTCAGACATTCAGAAAAAAGCACAAGTGGGATAGCTACCTAACTGATCTCTAGAGCATTATCTTCATCAAGAACATATCAATGTCTTGAAGAAAGCAAGCTGTCCCACACAATACACAAGCACAAAGCAAAATATCACCCCCAAAGGGTGACACAGTATCAATGGATTTCCTGAAGCCAGAAAGTCTGATGGAACTTTCTGACAGAATTTAAAAGAACAATGATTGAATATTTTCAATGGATGAAAGACAAACTTGAAGAATTACAGGATACTATAAACAAAAAACAGGAACTAAAAAAAAACCCCAAAAAACAAAAAAACAGTCCAGAACAATGTAGAGAAAACAAA